TAAATACCTATCAACTTCTGAGTGAATAAAGAAAATATGGTATACGTATCCCATGGAGAACTGCTCAGCGATTTATATGGTATACGTGTCCCGTGGGGCACTGCTCAGCCATTTATATGGTATACGTGTCCCGTGGGGCACTGCTCAGCCATTTATGTGGTATACGTGTCCCGTGGGGCACTGCTCAGCCATTTATATGGTATACGTGTCCCGTGGGGCACTGCTCAGCCATTTAAACAAATGACATCATGTTGTTTGCAGCAACTTGGATGAAAATAGAGACCATGATCCTAAGTGAAGTGTCTGAGCAATAAAAACTCAAATGCCATATGTCCTCACCAACAATTGGAGGCTAAACATGGGCACAAAGGGATATAAAAGAGCCTTAGAAACCAAGAAGGGGGGCAGTAAAAGTTAAAAACTCACCTGCTGGGAACAGTGAACACTATTGTGGTGATGAGACACTAAATGCTGTGACTTAAGTATTACAAAAGGTACTTACATAATGAAGACATTTGATATTAATATCAAATATTAATATTTTGAAATTTTAAAAAAGAAAATAAATAAAATGCTGCTTTAAAAAGTTAAAAAATAAAAACGGAAATAAGCAAAATATAAGTAAATAATAAAAGAGCCTGATTTATTAAATTGATTATAGAGCACAATACAGAAGTTCAATGAGAAATCAATGCTGGTTCTTTGAAATGCCTCTAGCATGACTAACAGAAAAATAAAGAGAAGGCACACACGCGCTAACATAAACAATGTAATTAGAAATGGGCCAAACCCAGGAAGAGACACTTCACTACAGATACTGCGTTGCTAAACAGTAGGCACATAATGGTTTCCATCATCACTACACATTAGGGAAATGCAAACTAAGACTATGAAAAGAAGAATTAAAATTTAAACCAGTAATGGTAATATCCAGCACTGGCAGGGATGTAGGGAAACTGGATCTCTCATACTTTGCTGACAGGGATATAAAAAGTTATAGCCACTCTGGAATATCATTTGACATTTTCTTTCAGACTAAACAAACATTTTCCATTCTATAGAGCCATTTTCACTTTTGGGCATATATCCCAAAGGAACAAAACTTGTATCATCATAAAAACTCCACGCTACTGCTCTTCTCTGCTCCACTGGCCGAGGGTAAGCTTACGTCTCACGAGCTTCAGTTATAAATGTTATAAACTAGTGAGCAAATGTTCCATTTTTACTTTTTGTTTTTTTTGAGACAAAGTCTTACTCTGTCAACCAGGCCATAGCACCATGACCTCAGCCTACCCCACAGCAACCTCAAATTCCTGGGATCAAAGTGATCCTCCTGCCTCAGCCTCCTGAGTAGCTGAGACTACAGGTGCCTGCCACAATGCTCAGCTAATTTTTCTATTTTTAGTAGGGATGAGGTCTTGCTCTTTCTCAGTAGGTCTGGAACTTCTGAGCTCAAAGGAATCTTCCGTCCTTGGCCTCCAGAATGCTAGGATTATAGGCATGAGCCACCACACCTGAACTTATTTTTACTGCTTATACAATGTCTATGATGTCAGCAGAGGTGATAATTGAGTGATGCACCAATTATGGCTAAAAATTCTACTTAGCCTCCATTCTGATTGGCCAGCATCATCTGTGGCTAAATAGTCTCAGTATTTAAGTTGGCATTTCCTATGCTATACTTGGAGGTAATATTTTCTCTGATTTTACAGGTGGAGATGCTAAGTTATAAAGAATTTCAGTAAATCACCAAATATCATAGTCTTTGATTATTTTTAAGACCTCTCTTTCCACCATTCCCACAATTGCACCTGAAAAGTTTGAGAATTATACTCAACTAAACATTTCTTAAAAAACTAGTTTTTAAGGAAATAAATTAAGAAATAAATCTTATCAAACACAACAAAAATAATATTTTGTATTTGCAAAATATGATATATGCTATACCAAACTGAAGTCTAAGTACTGTATTTAGTAGTCACTTGATTGCATTTGTGTCTTTTCTTCATGTGCAAAGAGATTCTTAGCTCACTAAAAAGTGTTATAAGCAGGGCGGTGCCTGTGGCTCAGAGGAGGAGGGGATCGGCACCATTTACCAGAAGTGGTGGGTTCAAACCCGACCCCAGTGAAAAAAACTACACACACACACACACAAAAGTGTTCTAAGAAAAGCAGAACTAATCAATTACTGTATTTGCTATCAGTAATGGGTGTTTGAGGTTCTCCATTACCCAAAAGAATGCAGAACTGACAGTATTAACATCACTAACCAACATTAGGGTAGGTGACGGACTTTGAAAGATTAAGACATCTGTGAAGAGCTAAAAGTAATAACTTTGACAGTATTAATAATGCATTTTTAATAGTAACACTAAGAATCAGTGTAAGTGGTTGCAACAAAGCCATAGATTAGCCTGGGGCGGGGGGGAGCAGGAGCCAGAGGTGGAGGGGGAAGGCACAGACAGGTGTATGTCTAGGGAAGACGCAGCAGTGCAGACACAGATATGAAAATTTGGGGGCCAGTTAAATACGGGAATAGAAGGTATCAAGGCACTTTCTAATCTGATAGAAGACATATACATGGGTCATTATGAAAGTTTTGAGATACACAAAAATCAAGAAGCATAAAACCTGTGAGGGCAGAAACACACGAAGCCCTCCCAGCAACACTGAGAAGCCAGCGGGGCCACCAGGAAGGGCGCTGTCCTCTGTGCTTTCTGTCAGTGAAATATTGGACCATGAGACAGTGTCTCAAAACTTAGTGACCTATAGGCAAGGCTGTGGGAAACACCAATACTTTAGAGACAGACAGAAAGGAGCCAGGCAAAGGGTGTGGTGGTCACAGCTACCACTTTAAATGACCTTCAGTCCTGGAAGTGAGAGAAAGACAAGTTGGCGGACAAATCTAAGGCAGGAGAGAGATTCAGACAAAAGGCTTAGGAGGAAAATCAATAGAAAAGCATTAGAAGATGTTTAAGGTGAGAAGAAGCCAGAGTGTTCAAAGGAGCAAGTATAATCTGAGCATAGAATTATGGTATTTTAGTTCATGGATGAAAAATTACACTGGATTTTCATGTCTATAAAAGTATTTTTTTATCATTTTCATATGAAATCTATAACTCAATTATAGCCCAAGAATATGGGGAAAGGGGAAAGGGAGCGGAGGAGAGGGGGAGGACGGGTGGAAGGAAGGCAATTAGTGGGACCATGACTACGGTGCAGCTTACAAGGGCACATGTGAAACTTACTAAATGTTGAATGTAAATGTCTTAACACAATAACTAAGAAAATGCCATGGGGCAGTGCCTGTGGCTCAAAGGAGTAGGCCGCTGGCTCCATACGCCAGAGGTGGTAGGTTCAAACCCAGCCCCGGCCAAAAAGAAAATGCCATGAAGGCTGTGTTAACCAGTTTGATGAAAATATTTCAAATTGTATATAAAACCAGCACATTGTACCCCATGACTGCATTAATGTACACAGCAATGATTTAATAAAAAAAAAAAAGTTTTTTTTAAATTTTGGTATTTGCTGTCTATCCTTTCCTTTACATTGGGATGATGCGTTTATAATTTATCCCAACTCAAACACTGTTATTATGAACTCCACCTCAGGTAGTGGAAATAATTTAGACTTTGAATGTTAAAAAAATATGTATAAAAATAAAAGTAGTGAATCTTTTTGATGCATTCAAAACTACATAGTTAATACACTTCAGGATATTGAAAATTTGTATGGGGCAAAGCAAAAATTGTTCCTTTAACTTATCTTCTTTAACATACATTACATGGGGGAAATGAATTGTTTTACGAACAGTTTTCTGTAGGGATTTATATTCACATTTAAAGAGAAAATAAAACAATAGTAACATAAGGTCATATTTCTTCAGTATTCTAAACGATTATTTAGAATGTGAAGCCACCAAGTGAGTGTTTTAGCTCCCAGGATGTTATTTTAGCGTGACACAAATGCAGTTCATAAGGAATTACAACTAAGAAATGTAAGTAGTTGTGTGTAATTTGTTTTAACAATGCCTTTAAGTGAAAATTTGCCAATAAAATCTCAAAGTGGATCCATTCTTTTGACCATGAGAGATATTCCCAGCTAAGTGAAGAGTGTGGGCTTTCACCCCCTTGGTTCTCTGAAATCTCCACCCCCCCCCAAGGTGTCTTAGAGGTGTGGATGCCTCAAGAGTGTGTTATGTGATGAATTTATTGGGTTTACCTTTGCTTCAATCTGTTTAGTATCTGGATTCTGAAACAAAAATTTGATTTTGCTCTTGCCATCATCTGAAGAGCCTTTAAGCTGAGAAAACTTATATCTCCAAAGTACAGCCTAAAGGGGAAGAAAGAAACAATGTAAGTCAATATAATTAATAGCACCATTCAAACCAGAAATAGTCCTTTTCTAAATCATAAAAGTGAATCATATAAAGTTCGTACTATGTCCCAATATTTAAAATTAAATTAAGTATATATTTATTAAATATTATAGTTTATTATTCAATATAAATATCCCTTAATTTTCATAACTAACATTTGATTTTAGTATCTTTTCTCATGTGCACATGAAATACAAACTGCTTCTTTCCTTTTCAATGGGAGTGACAGGTGACTCTTGACTGATCCTTCTGCAGCTCTCCTCTTGAAGCTAAACTAATGGCCCTGAGCTTTATCCAAATGACACAGCAGCTCGAACAAACAATTATGACAAAAACTTACAGGGAGTGCTCTGGTGACATTAGACTAGAATAAGCATTTCACAGAGCCCTCGTCCTCGGCCTGTGGGATGGAAAGCACAGGAAGTACTGCCTGTTTCCAAAATAGATTTTATAAATGCGGCCTTCTCGAAAAACAAAATGGAGATACATCTACAGTCATTGGCCGTAAGTGGAAATTGTCTATTAGGATTTTTGAAAGTGTTTAATTTCTGGCCCATAGAAAGTGTGAGATGATTTCTCCTCTCTTCCCCGTTACAGGTCCTGTCACCTGAGTAAATGTCGCACGTTGTTCTCTTACTGAACCCCAATCAGACACGCCCCAGGTGAAAGGCAACTGTGTATGCTTCAGCATAATCACACACCACGCACTTTTTGTTACATTATTTTAACACTCTTTATCTCAATAAATTATGATTTTGAATATTTTTAAAAATGATTTCAGGTTTTTGAATAATCAAGAAAATAGCTGACAGTTGAATGTTTACTTAGTACAATTCTATTTAAGCCACTGACTGATAAAACAGTGAGGAGACACAGTATAAATTATGCATCTCATGTATTTTTACATAATAAATTTTTATAGAAATAAGTAACTCACAAATAAGAAAGATTGTGGGTTCAGTTCTATAACACTATGATAAAGTGAATATCATAATAAATAAGTCACAATATTTTTGGTGTCATAGCACATGTAAGAGTTACATTTATACTATATATATTCTTTAGTCTATTAAGTGTTCAATACTATTATGTCTAAAAATTGTACACAGCTTAATTTAAAATGCTTTATTGTTATATATGCTAATGATCATCTGAGGCTTGCCAAATCATATTTTTGCTGGGGGAGAGTCTTGCCATGACTTGGTGCTGCTGATGGAGCAGGTTGGAGGTTGCTGGAGTCTGGGGCGGCTGTAGCAATTCTCAAAACAAGACAATTAACTTTGACACATCGACTGACTTATCTGTTCACCAATAATTTCTTTGTACCAGATGATACTATTTGATAGCATTTTGCTCACAGTAGAACTTCTTCCAAAATTGAATTCAATCCTCTCAAATCTTACTTAATCTTGCTGCTACTTTATTAAGTTTATGTAATATTCTAAATCCTTATTTTTTATGATTTCAGCAATGTTCACAATACATGTCATCTTCCAGTAGTAGATTCCATCTCAAGAAACTACTTTCTTTGCTCATCCATAAGAAAAGCTCTTTATTCATTAAAGTTTGATCATGAGACTGAATTCAGCCACCTCTTCAGGTCCCACTCTCTCTCTATCTCCTTTTTTTTTTTTTGAGACAGAGTCTCATTTTATCACCCTGGTAGAGTGCTCTGGTGTCATAGCTCACAGCAACCCTCAAACTCTTGAACTCAAGTGATCCTCTTGCCTCAGCCTTCCAAGTACCTGGGATTAAAGACACCTGCCACAACACCCGGCTATTTTTAGAGACGGGGTCTCGCTCTAGTTCTGGCTGGTCTTGAACTCCTGAACTTAAGCAATCTCCCCTCCTTGGCCTCTCAGAGTGCTGGGATTACAGGCATGAGCCACCTTGCCCAGCCAGGTTCCACTCTTACTTCTAGCTGTCTTGCTATTATCTTTTGACCAAACCCGCAGTTAATTCCCACACTGAAGTCTTAAACCCCTCAGAGTCGTCCATGAAGGTTGGAATCAGCTTTCTCCAAACTCCTCTTCATGTTGATATTTTGGCCTCCTCCCACGGGGAGGCCACACGTGTTCTTAATAGAATCTAGAACGGTGAATCCCTTACAAAGGTTTCCAACTGATGTTTCCTAGATCCATCAGAGGAATCACTATCTGTGGCTCATGTAGCCTTGTAAAATGTATGTTTTCAATAATAAGAAAATAAACAAAAACTCCTTGGTCTGTGATTTGCAGGATGGATGTTGTGTTAGCAGCATGGGAACAGCATTAATTTCCTCCTGCATCAGAGCTCTTTGGTGACCAAGTGCACTGTCAATGAACAGTAATATTTTAAATGAAATCATTATTTTCTGAGAAGTAGGTTAAAACAGTGGGATTAAAATAGTAAAGCAAGCTGTAAATGGATGTATTATCATCAAGGCTTTATTGATTCATTTCCAGAACACTGACAAGGTAGGTTTAATCTGATTAATAAGGGCCCTAGGATTTTTGAAATGGTAAATGAACACTGGCTTCATCACTATGTCAACCCCTAACAAGAGACTCAGTCTGGCCTTTGGAGCTCTAAGCCAGGCATTGGTGGCTCCTCTCCATCTGTGAAAGCCTAGAACACATCTTCCAATAGAACATCTTGTCTACCCAGAAGGTCTGCTGCTCAGTGGAGCCTTGTTCATCAGTTATCTCAGCCAGATCTCTAAGTAACTCGCTGCAGCTTCCCCATAAGACTTGCAGCTTCACCGCAGACTTTTACATTATGGAGATGGCCCTCTCCTTACACTTCCTGAAACCAACCTCGGACAGATTCAAACTTTCCTCTGCAGCTTCTTACCTCTCCCAGCCTCCATAGCAGAGAAAAAAGGTAGGGTCTTGCCCTGGATAGCATTTGACTTAAGAGAATGTTGTGGCTGGTTCATCTTCTACCTAAACCACTAAAACTTTCTCCACATTAGCAAAAAGGCTGCTTTGCTTTCTTACCATCTGGATGTTCATTGGAGCAGCACTTCCAATTTTCCTCAAGATCTTTCTGGTTTTGGTCTTCACATCCTGGCTAACAGGTGCAGGGAGGGGAGATTCCAGCCTATCTTGGCTTTCATCTTACCTTCCTTGTCAAGCCTTAATCATGTCCAGCTTTGGATTTAAAGTGTGAGACTCGCTACCTTTTCTTTCACTTGAACCTCAGAAGCAATTCTAGGGTTCTAACTGGGCTGCCATCAATACTTTGTGATCAGGGGAACAGGGAGGCCCCTCCTGAGGAAGAGAAGTAAGGAAGGTCTGCCCAGAGTTGCCATCAAAACACACAGTACAGCACTGTTTTGATTAGCTGTAGCTGTAGTAACTTTTGAAATCAGGATTGAAAGATCTCCCATTTTGTTTTCTGTTCAAGATTATTTTGGCTATTTGGAGTACTTCCAAATTTTATATGAATTATAAGATGCAGTTCTCCATTTCTTCAAAAAGCATCAGTGAGATTTTATAAGAATTGTATTCAGTCTACAGATTGCTTTATTCCATATTGTCATCTTACCAACATCAAGTCCTTCATTCTGTGAGCACTGGGTCTTGTTTTATTATATTTCTCTCTAATCTCTTTCAGCATTGTTTTGTAGTTTTTAAAGTACTAATCTTTCTCCACCTTGGATGAATTTATTCCTAAGAATATAATAAAATTTTTGGTGCTATTAGAAAAAGAATTGTCTTTTCTATTTCTTTTCTAGATTATTCATTGTTAGTACATAGAAACACAACTGGCTTTGTGTGCTAATCTGGTACACTTCCACTTTGCTAAAATTATTGATTAGGTAAACAGGTTTTATGTGTGTGAGGTATGTGTGCCTGTAGGATTGTCTACAGGTACCATCGTATCTACTGTGAATGGGGATAATTTCACTACTTAATTTCCATTTTGATTGGCTTTTGTTTCTTTTTCTTGCCTAATTGCCATGGGAAGGATTATCAGTACCATGACAAACAGAGGCAGTGAAAGAAGGCATCCTTGTCTTATTGATGATCTTAGGAAAAAACTTTGTCTTTCACCCTTGTGTATTATGTTAGCTGTGGGTTTTTCCTTACATAGATTTTATCCTTCTATTTCTCGTTTATTAAGTGTTTTTCCAGGAAAGTTTAATGCATTTTGTCAAATAGTTTTTTTCTGTATTAATTGAAAAGTTCGTGTATGTTTTTATTTGATCTTCATTCAATTAATTTCTGTATTACATTGTTTGATTTACATATGCTGAAACTTCCTTTGAATTGCAGGCTCATCTATAATCCTAGCATTGTGGGAGGTCAAGGTGGAGAATTGCTTGAGACCAGGAGTTTGAGAACAGCTTGTGCAAGACTGAGAGCCTGTCCTAGTTGGGCACATTTGCATGCACCTATAGTTTCAGCTACTATGGAGGCTGAGGCAGGAGGATTCTTGAGCCCATGATGCCACTACACTCCTGTTTAGGCCAGAGTGAGGCCCTACTTCAAACAAACAAAACACAACACAACAAAACAAAAATCCCACTTGCTTGCAGTATATAATTTGTTAAGTACATTGCTGAATTCTGTTTGGTTATATTTTTGGAAGATCTTTTTTTTTTTTTTTTAAGATTCATAAAGGATGTTGATCTAGCATTTTCTTGTAGTATGCTTGTCTGGCTTTGGTGTCATGGTGATTCTGACCTCACAGAATGAGTCAGGCTGTGTTCCCACTTGTTCATTTTTTGTAAGACTTTGAGAATTATTGCCATTAGTTCTTCTTTAAATATTGGACATAATTTACCAGTAAAGCTATATGGTCTGTACCTTTGCATTGTTGGGAGATTTACGATTACAGACTCAATCTCCTTAATAGTTAATTGTTCTGTTTAGGTTCACTCATTTTTTAAGATAACATTTTTCTATGATTTTATCCATTTCATTTAGTCTATTCAAATTGCTATAGTGTAGTTGTTCAGAGAATTATC